CCCCAAAACCCCAAAACCCCAAAACCCCAAAACCCCAAAACCCCGATATATTAATGGTTTATTGAGAATATATAATTACTTAATTAGGTGTAAATTCTTCATATCTCCCATAGAGGAAAGCTGGGTTAGAGATATCCTTTCAAATTTTCTTGTTGATTTCTCTGGTTTTAATTCCTGGGTTTTCTTCCTCAAATCCACCTCTAACTTTTTGTTGTGGTCGAGATTTGGACGGAAATTAGGCTTAACACGGGATTTCCAGTATTCCTTAATTCTGTCTCTCTTCTGCTTAGCTTTTTCAGTATCATTAAAGCCGACAACAACAGAATTATTCCAACCTTGGCTCCTGCACCTCTGTTCTCTAAGCTGGGCTAGCCTTGGTCGATGTAGAGCCTTTTTATGCCGACTAGGAATCTTTTTCTTGGATTCCTTAAGAGGCGATGACCTGCCAAGTAGTCCTTTATCATGCCCAATTCCTCGAGAATTTAGGGAGAACTTGCGAACGAGCCTTCCTTTTCATTCAGGATTATCCTCGGAGAATAGATTAGGCATCATTCCACCCGAAGGGTTCGTGAAGAAGGATTCACTAGTATTCTTCAATGGAGAGTTCTTCCCTTGAGGAAGCTCTGGCTTTTTCAGAGGCTTAGACTTTGGAGGAAGTTGTTGATGGGACAAATTCTTGATCATCTTCTCTTCTTTTGAGACTTCCATTCTCCCACCAGTCTCAAGGTTGATCTTACTCTGAAGTTCTGGGAGCTTTAGCTCTTTGCTAGCTGATTTTGGCTGCATTCTTTGAGGCAAAGATTTTGCAATCCTGTGAATTTGTCTATGAAGTCCATTTTTCGAATCTTTCGTTAGAGATTGGCTATACTTCCTCATCATTAAATCAGAAGGGCTGATCGAGAATTTGGGTTTTGGGATCAGAGAGGTCTGGGTCTTGCCATTGATATTACTCTGTTGGCTATCTATCAAATTATTAGCAGATATTTTCTTCAGCTTCTTGCTTGTTCTACTAATCTTTGGAATTCTAGACCTTGACCCTTTCTTTTGTAAAGACTTAGACCCAATATTTTTGATGTCTTTATTGTTAACCAATGGCTTTTTAAGATGGTTTGGTGTCCTTCTATGCTTAGCTTGTCTCTCCAAAGCCTCTGACTTTTCCTTCTCACTAGGTAAATATTCCTTCTTCTGGAGGTAAATCACTTTTCCTTTTTGGGACATGCTGCTTTGGGTGAGGTTTCTAGTACTGCTCTTCTTAGAAGATGATGGCTTGGTTAACTTGCCTTCTAGTTCGACCTTATCTGCTTCACTAACTTCACTAAGAATACTTTCATTTAGCTTGGCTTTTCTATTTTTCAAAAGGAGACAGAGGCTTGTCTGTTCCTGGGCTTCTGGCTAAGAAGTTGATGGAGGAACTTTCTCCACTGTTGGAGTTATCCTTACCAAAACTTTTAGAGTTGAGGTACAACTCCATTAACATCTTATCCTCATTTTTCTTGGTATTGGCAGAATTCTGATTAGATATTTTATCCAGAATCGTTTTGAGCTGATTCCTGGCAAGAGATTGGTCTTGGTAGTATTCTTTTATTTCTCCAAATTTAGACTTCTGAATAGGCTCTTGAGAAATTGCACCATAATCTGATCCTAGAAGGTTTTTGACAAATTCATCAGGGAGTAATTGATTTCCATGGCTAGCACTATCGACTTCTTCATTGGGAAAATCTCCTAAATTTTCTAGACGAGTTATAAATAAATATACTAGTTTTAGCGATTTCTCGTTTTTGCCGACGTATGAAAGACTGTTCAGGAAAATGCTGGCCTTCCTGACTATGATCAGAATGGCCGTCAGCTATTTCATTGTGAAGGGAGGGGTTATCCATTTTATTGGCCCTTTCTGAGCGACGGCGCTGTTGGCGTTGTTTCTCCTCCATTATGAGCTGATTAATCTTCTCGCATTCATTATAAGCAACATCTAGGTTTGGATCAACAGTTCCTAACCTAGTAGAGGCTTCTACTGATTTCTCACTGAAGATACTTTGTTCAGGGTATTTTTCGATATTTATAAATGATTACTCTCTTCACGAAGCGCTGGCTTAGGCTGTGGTCTGATAGCTTTAGGAGGTTTGCCCCATTTTTTGTCTGCCTTCATTCACGGATAATTTCAATTATAATCAAATACTTTGGGGTTTTGGGGTTTTGGGGTTTTGGGGTTTTGGGG